GTTCATCCCCGAGTTAGTGATTAGTTTCCTACACCTGCACATGTCTAAATTAATCTCCAAATTACAAGCAGATAGTCACGGTTTCGTATACTTCCATCCTCTCGATATCTATATTCAGACTCATGGGTACATCCCTCCTCCTCTCTGCGTGAGTAAAATGCCAGTGGGGCTGCTGATTGATTGATGGCAACTTGCATAGTGCATCCACACCTGCCTCAAGCCAAGAATCACCACCAGTATTTGCTCCAGCTCCAAACTGCTCCAGGGCAGTGAAGTTATAAATTGACTGTCATTTTCAAAAGATAAAAATAAAAATAAAAAAACTTAAAAAAAATAAAAAGCATGACAATTCTGCTTCCAGAACTTTGAGTGAAGACTGCTGTTAGTGCTGTGACAGGAAATGCTAGCCAGGAGTAGCACTCAGAGTAGGAATATGGGCTCAAAGCATGGTCTTCCATCTGTTCCCCATCCTGCAGCTCTGGGGAATGCAAGAGAGGAGCAGAACTACAGGCCCAACTCTGTTCCTACAAGCCGGATGGGTACGTCATGTGTTCACAACACTATGGCACTACTTTCTTACTCCCATTTCCCTGAGGGCTATGACTGGGAAAAAAATGAGTAAGGACAGCTCATCTCCCATTTTAAGAAGGCTACATTTTCACTTTGCCCCAAAGAGCCTGAACAGTGAAAGGTCACCTTGTCAATTGGTCAGGTCTCTGAAAGGCAGTCGTAACTTTTGCAAAGATAAGAACATGAATTATACAAGCTGATGGCCAGGTATGATTTCAATGGCATGCAACCTGTTCTGATGGGCAACTCAGAACAATGTACAGATCACAACAATCTCCTGCTGAGGTTGAGGCTGAGACACAACCATTCCCAAAGGCATACAAAACTTGTGTTTTTGTAAACCTGCCTTTGTTAGATCTCTACTGCATAATGAACTATTGCAAAAAACATCTGAACTTCTCTTGCACAAATAATCTGCAGAATTCTGATCAGCTAAGTAGTACCAGATCTGTTACATAAAACATGAAGTACACATCTGTACTATTTTTAGTGCAACGTAATGTGACCACGTTTCAAAAGTGTGACCCCTTCTCCATAAACCTGTGCTTTTCTCTATGAAGGAGATGGGGCATCCAGGCAGCCCTGCTTATGGCTCTTCACTCATGCAAAACTAAAATTAGGCTTCTGCCTGGGTGCACACATGGCCTTCTTTTAATCCACTGTTATCTACTGAATGGCCAGTAGAACAGGATGTTTTCACTTGTTTACGTAGTTGAATACAAATATGCGAGCTATACTCAGTCCATCAGACAGTTGAATGAAAGAAAACGTACCCTCTAATTCACAGTGCCCTCTCCAATTGTGATACCTGTATGGAGGATCCATGCCACATCAGTAGTAAAAACGAACAGCAGGTATTGCTTGGATGGCTGATTGTGAGCTGCGCATCAAGATTTTCATTTACCAAGGTGCTGGAGCAGGTGGAGCAGTGCTACTCTGACATGAAGAACTGCTGGGCTCTGTGAGCATCGGCCTTTCAGCAGCCCCTGTTACCAAAACCTGGCCAGGTAAGCTCAGTACAAGATCAGCTATATTTTTTTCTAATGACTTCCACACACCTAAATAAATAAATAAATAAATAAATCCCCAAACGTTGTTTCTACTTTGCTAACAGTTAGCTATGGCTAAGGAACAGCTAAACTGTTAAATACAGCAGCTAACCCAGTAATAGCTGTATCTTCAATTGCTGCTACTTGAATTTGTATCAGCTCTGATACCTGTAAGCCTTAATATATTCTCTGCAGAGGTGGACCTTAGCGGTGAAGTTTCTTTGTGGTTTTGGAAGCAAAACCTGTAATTATGTTACCCAAAATGTAACTCAGATTTTCTTAGTTGTGAATGCTGCTGCATAAACTTCAGCAGCATAAAATGCTGGTAGTATAGAAAAGGCATTGTTGAACAGTAGTGAATAAAGGCAGGTGGCAATATTTGTCAAAACAACTGGTCAGATACTAAATACCTGGACAGATATTTCCTAATATTTTAGTGATGAGCTGTAAGATGACCCTCTAGAATTCACAGAATCACTAAATTTGGAAGTGTTATTAGCATCCCTGATGTGTCAGAAATGGTATGAAACAGAGATGGGCATGAGAAATGCATGTTTTTCTCAGAAAACTACACATTCTTGCATTTGAGAGAGTGGTGGCAGGTGTGAGAGCTGCAGGGCCCCGAGCGTTGCCGAATCCTGGAGCCAATGGAGAGGACTGCTGCTGCTCTCTCGTTCCCTGCCCTGGGTCCAACCAGGGCACACACCTCCAACCCAGTGCCAGCGAGGTGGGGCACTGGGGGGAACTCCTCCTTCCTCCGTTCCTTCGACCGTTTGTTTGGGGACGAGCCCCTCATGCCACTGTCCGATCGAGGCAGACTGCGCTGAGTGCTGCAGGGCTTGGGCCACACTGTGGTGCCTGGGGTCTGCAGCAGGGTTGGCTACCCACTTCAACCCACTTGAAACAAGGATCAAACAATCCAGCATGCACATGAGTCGGCAGCTCACATGAAAGCCCATGGCATAATGAATGTTTCAATGTCCCCCATCCTTGGAGTGAAAGTTCAGCATGAGTATGTTCGACTAACCACCAACATCAGGCTCAAAATATTGATCGGCCCAGAACATGAAATGGAAAGAGTAAGCATGTACTGTGAAATCTGCAGAAGGCCCTGGAACACCATCGGTCCATCTCACCCACCTCACCAGGGAAGTAGAGCATGAGTGCAAGAGCTAGGACCTGAAAGATGATGAACTATGTAGTTCCCTGCCCGGGCAGGACAAAGCCATAGGAAACTTTGGTGGATGTCCTGACATGCACGCTGGTCATCCAATCCAGGTGTAGGGGCAAAAGAGCAATCGAACCATATAGTAGCTGGTTCCCTCTGCAGTTCCCCGAAGGATAGCTGGTGCTCTCAGTAGTGGGGCAGTTTTACCTGGTAAAGTGAATGATTAGAAGTCTTAGGGCTGAAACAATCTCAATTCTCAATTCTCAAACTTTCAATGGGTAAGATGCCCAACTCACAGGCATGAAGCTAAACCATGGAATACTGGCACTCAGTAGGCCTTCCAGCCTGCCGCCAGGTTTTGGGGCCAGTTTGGCTTAATTCTATGGCTAAATGTGGTGGGGAGGACTATCTATCTTTGTAAAAATTTGATTTATCTCTTTTTTATAAACATATTTTAAATATTGGAAGGCTACAGAGGACCAGGACACTGGAAGATAGAAAAGAATTTTAAACTTCAAACTTTAACTCTTGTGTTTTCACTTTGCTTCCATGTGACAGTCATCTTTTTGGTAACTTTTTTGATGATAGCTCCAGCTTAAAAAACAAGAAGTTAGACAAATATTGTAAGGCCCCTCTTTCACAAAAACCTGAGAGCCAAGAAAGAGTTTTTGCCCTTCGGCTCCATAGGAGATGTCCATTGTACCTGGACTCAATCTCAGAAATGTAACTTGACAGTAGATCTGGTCTGCAAACAAGATCTGACAAATCATTATCCAAAACAGCTTCCTCCAAAAGTGTGGTGTCACTTCAAAATAGAGGAGAGCCATTATGGACACATTAGACCAAGGCAACATTCTCTTATTTTCATGAAGTCTTAGGAGACCAGTCCATCATACTTGGTAATGGTTACTTTTGGCAGAAGACACAGCACTTAGTGGATGCTTTAATACTCCCGTCTTTTTCTTTGCCTTCCAAAATAACTGCAATGTTAGATAAACAGCCAGGACTGTGCTAGTTCTTTCCAGTAGAAGTTTGTCACTATAGATTTCTATTCTAAGCATGTATTCCTCATCACTTCTTGCCATGCTGCAGACTCCACAGATCTCTGAACTTCAGTGGTAGCTTCTCAAGAACAGGGCATGGAAGCAGGTGCTGGCCATACAGAAGAAAAGAAAATCTCCTCTTGCTCATAACAGAAGAGAATCTATTTGAAGAAGTCTCTCCAGGCAGAGACCTTACTCCATTCCTTCAGAGAAATAAAAATCTGCTCAGAGGTAGCAAGCTTGCTCTCCTTTTCTGAGGGCAAAAAGCTAAATGTACATTTTCATCACTTGTTTCTGCCGTGATCTAGCTTCAGGCTCAGAGTAGATTTCAAAAAATTCAGTACCTCTTTCCCAGTTTTTGTTTGACTCTCTTTCTGTATTTAGAACAGTTTTTCCTCTCTGTTAGACTAAACAGGTCCCTTTGTCCTTTCGATTGTGGTTAAGGCTTTGGTACCTCTTAGTCTAGGTATGGAATTACCATCTGTATCAGTATTGTCTACTGAGCAATTTACTCAGCAGTTGTTCATGCCTGTCATTATACTGAGGAGACTGAACCCTGTGAACTCATCCTCAGGCATCTGCAGTCACAATTTTCCACTTGCTCTAAATGTAGGATAGGAATAAATATGAAAAGAGAGGGAGCTTACACAGGACAGCAGTAAGTCAGAGAAAAGCTCTTGGGTCCTGATTCTCAACCCCTTGCTCAGCTGCTTTCATTTAGAGTGCTGGTATTGTTGAGCACTCTGAATAAAAGGTGAATGTGAAGTTCAGTTAGAGCACATTTGGTTAGTGCAGATCCCGTCGCTTCTGATTTTTAATGACTGGAGTTGTTTTGTGCTCTTTAAGGTGTTTTGTTTCAGTTTGTTTTGCAGACCTGAAGTCTGCAGTGAAATACGACTAAAGAACTATTAAATGCCTTCTACATGTAACTGAAAATAACTTTTTTGGAAGACTGAATTAAATAAGAGAAGTATATTCTAATTCTTATCTCCATTCTCTACAATGAGTTTATGGGGTCTACCTTTTATTACTTCTCATTTGTTTCCTGGAAACAAATATTTATATTGGAGATTAGTAAGTCCGAAAGGGTGTTGGATGTAGATACCAAAATAAAGCAATGAAGCAAGAATAAGTGCCAGATTCTGCACCTGGAACTGGGCAGTCCTGGCTGTACATACAGACTGGGGATGAGAATTTGGAGAGTAGCCCTGTGGGAAGGGATTGCGGGGTTCTGTCTAACAGTGAGTTGAACATGAGGCAGCAGTGTGCTCTGGAGCCCAAAAGGTCAACCGTAGCCTGAGGTGCAGCAGGCCCAGTGCTGCCACCAGGTGAGGGGAATGGCTTCCCCCTCTGCTCTGCACTGTGCAGCCTCACCTACAGCACTGGGTGCCACAGTACGAGAATGACATAAACCTGTAAGAGTGTCCAAAAGAGGGCTACAACGATGATGAAGGGTCTAGAGGAAAGGATATACGTCGAGCAGCTGCAGTCCCTTGGTGTGCACGTAGTCACAGCACGTCAATCACAAATTTTGAATATAACAGCAGGTGATAACAGATAAAATTTTTGGAGAGAGAAGCTAGTGTTGAAAAGAAAAGCACAAATCTTCCACTGTCTGAGTTTCAGCACAAGAATAAGCATAAGACCTTTACGCAGTCATATGGCTCAAAGCAGGGATGGAAAAGACGGTAAAGACACTGCTTAGCTTACTGTATTTCTTTAGATGTAAGCAAGTTTCAGGTTCTCTGGACTTTTTGCATTTAATTTGATTTTGTTACCAACAATTAGTTTAAATAAGCAAAGCATGTGTATTTTTTCATTCATTCACCATAAAGCACAAATAACAGGTTTTTTTGTTTTTTTGGTTTTTTTAGCCATTTGAAATAAATTATTAGGAGAACTAGATCTGTAGTGCCACTTTTCAGATTGGCTTTCAAGTCAGTACACTACCTCAGAGACCTCTGTTTCACCTCATTATTATTCAAAGGAGTTCAAATCAAATGAAGCTATCAGAAAGCAGAATGGCTTTTCCATATTAAAATTATCAGTGAAGTGTTAAATTTTAGTGCTTGATTACATTGCATAATTGCTTCAGGTTGCCTAATTAGTACAATATATAGAGACAGAAATGGTGAAATGCCAAGAATAACACGTTACATGAGAACAGGTACCAGGCTGTGAATGCAAAATAGATGTGACTAAGAGCTGCAGCTGTGGAGGTGTCGTTTGGTGCAGAGGTTTCCACAAATCACACAGTAATTTGGATCAAATCTTTTTCAATAACAGGTACACGTGCAAATATCCTCAAGTCCTAGCAGGTTCTGCCTGATTTTCTGCAGTGTGCATTTCCGCTGGTGTGCTGCTAATTTACTTGCACAATATGTCTCTTCAGTTCTTCAGTTCTGCAATGTAGGCAGCTCCTGATGATAACAAGACAATAGGCAATGTCAGCAAACTAGGTGGTGAAGGAAAAATAAATATATACTTTCCTCTTATTCCAAGGAATAAAGCTTTTCTGGAATGTCTTACATTCTGTTTGTTCTCTGAATTTATATAAATACGTAAGCATTTACATTATTAAACCAGTATAGCAAGTATACAATTGCATCAAAACTTGCTCTAAATGAAAAAATAATGTTGGTCACTGTAGGGGTCTACTTTCATTTTTCCCTTTTCCTGATTTCGGTTTCACAGCTCCACCACTGGCATTGCCGCAGACACAAAGAACTGTGAAATAAATTCAGGAGTTATGTATCCAGTAAAGCTCTTGAAGAATTACTGTAATGAGAACACAATGATCAAGACAGACAATGCATAGTCTGCAACTGATTAGGACAATGGCATAATTATGTTATGGAGACTCAGCATGGCTGTTTAGTTCCTACTAAAAACTACGCAGTCAAATGCAAAATATCATTCCTGAGAAACAACCACAGCATTCAGAAGGAGCGTTCAGTGACCAACTCTTGCCAACAAGAATCATGACAGCTGCAGAGACATTCAGCTGGAGATGTCAGATGGGCACAGCCTGGGGCACGTTGGAAACTGTCACTATATCCATTCTTATGAGCTAGTCCTGACTCAGAACAAATACACCTCTCCCTCTTAACAGCATTGCAGCTCAGTATACCTCAGGAACATACAAGAGAGGAAAAAGAAAGACTTGATAAAGGCAATAAACATATTCATCTTTCCAGAGATCTGGTTCGTTGTTCCTGCCACCCCCCTGGAGAAGTGCTTCTCCCTTGGTTTGTGAGGTAGCTTTCTTTCTCGATTAACTTGTCCTGCTGTGCAAGTGGGAGCTTTGCATGTGCTTTGCAGAAGCCCTTTACCTCACAGAGACCTTCGCTCCCTGTCACTTGAGATGTTGCATGATCTGAGGATCCACAGTGCACATTACACAGAAGGTGCCAGCACCCCGGTGAAGAATGCTGCAGTGGAATACATTTGTTTGTCACGAAAGCTGTCCTCAAGAAGAAGGCACATAAACTGCGTATTGAACTTATCATAGACAGAGCATCATACAAAATACAGTCCCTAAAACTCCTTGGTCCATATGCTCAGGAATATAATCATTTCTCCTGATTGCCTGTGATACAACAGTTTTGTTCTGCTAAGTACTTCAGAATACTGAAGTGTATAGTGTTGGTTTAGGAGAACATGTTCAATAAAATTTAGGAAATAGAGGAATGCATTTTTGAGTCCTTCAGACTTGTATTTTTGAATCTTATGCTTACAGTTACCTTGAAATTCTTTGTTTGAGCATTCCAATCTCATGGTCCATTTGCATTACAAGCAGATTATGCTCCTTCCTCACCATCCTCCTTCATCAGCTTTACCCATTTGTATTCTTCCTTCATAGAACTAATGCAGCTAGCTAGAATGTAAATCCGAGCACATCTTCCTCATTCTCCTCTCTGGAGAGCAATTGGGAGGGCAGAGAAGAATCAGTCAAAGGTAAACTTAGATAAAAAGCTGAACAGTGACCTAAGAAGGCAGAAATATCTCAGACCATGCTTAAAAGTATTCTCATGGATGCTCAACTTGGCCTTGAAATTCCCATCCTGAAGCATTACAGAGAAAGTCCTGGTGCAGCTAAAATTCCTGTCCTTAAGCTGTATGTGTATTTATTTTCACACAGTATATAGTGACCTGTGAGATACAAGCCATTGGTGAGTGATCTTACCTGGAGCATCCTTGAGAGCTGCAGCCCAACACTGCTCTACATATATGGTTTCACAAATCATAGCCGTGGTAAACACACTATATAAGCAGAAAACATACTTTTTCAATTATTCCAAACTGCTCTTTCCTTGATGCTCCCTGTCTCAATGGCAGATTACATAACACTCAAAAGTCACACAAGTGAGAGCCACTTTCTTTACCTGTGAAGGATGTACAGTATTTTAACATCTGGTATAATGATTGCTGTTGGCAGGAGATGAGGACACGTTTTGGCTATATCATCAAAGATACTCCATCCACCTTAAATCCACCTCACCTTTCAAAGCATTAAATATACTCCTGTATGACAGAATCTCTGGATAAGGAGTTCAGGTTATGTTTCTGAAGCAAGGCTCCCAAAACACCTTAAACCCTACACTTCATTGTACCACTTGTACACCACACCACTAAGGTGCTGAAACACTAGTCTTTCAGATTGCCTTGACCTGCTTTTGTCATTTCCTGCATGCCCAGTCATTTCTAATCTATGTGTTTGGTAGCACCTTTTCTCCCGTCACCCCACTCTTTCTCCCATCTGAGAGTGTACATCCGTGCTAAGCCAGTATATATCTTCAGACCTTAAAAGAGAGGGAGTATGCTTTCCTCCAGTATCTGCACAGCTCTTAATATCTTACAGAAATTGCTGACAGTAAATTTATACTAATTATGAGGGGAAAAAATTGTGTTGGCTGAAAAGGCAGAACAGATTACTGCTGCAGATTTGGAAAGAGAGTACAAATTCCATTCTAAGGATAAAAGGAGAATAGAAGCAGTCAAACCGTTCACAATTCTTAGTTCACCTCTTAGAGCAGCCAAAGTAAAGTAGTGTATTGAATACCTGTTCCCATTGGATAAGTTACCTGTTTCAGCAGTGCACAGCTTAGTTTGTCCTGGTTCTTTCCTAAGCTTAGACAGACACAAGTCCATCTGATGCTGGAACAGAAACTAAGTGAATTCAGTTCATTTTATATTGTTGGAGAACTGCAGTAAATGTAGCCTTTTCCGTGGAAAACCTAAAAAAAAAATAAAAAAATTACGGGGAGCTGTAGTCACACTTTGCTAAAAATCTAGCCAATTGCAGCGTAGTGTTGAACCATTGATAAGAATCAAAGTCCTGTGTCCTATTAGCAAAGAAAAACATTGACTTTTGTATTCTTTTTTAAGAGGAGACAAGGAAAAGCATATAACCATTTTGTTAGCAAAAAGAAGTCTCTCTTAGATGCAGACTTAAATCAGTTAATCAATTAAATTAACCATCCCAATTAACATAGGATGTTTTGACATCAGCCAATATCTAAAGATCTCCTTGTTTGGATTTTTAGCATCAGAGGACGAATTTACATCCCATTAAACCCAAAACACACTGGAATTGGAAATATCTGAAATAGCTCAGACACTGTAGTTTCCCAGATTCCCTCCCTCATGAGGGAGTTCATGAGTTTAAATACATTCATATAGGAAGCTGTGTGATTCTTCTATACACTAAATTACAATATTCTGGGAAATTGAGTTCCCATACAACTTCTATATTGCCAAATTCATGGATATATTCAGGGAAAAACTGCAAGAAAGCCTCAAATCTCAAGCACTCAATTACACCAGTTAATCTCGTTTTTATGTCTTGTGATACAGTATAAACACAAACTGAAATATGGACAATTTCAAATAAACTAGAGATTTTTGACAAGAGCATAGTTTCGGAGGACTCAGTTCTTTTTTTTCTCCCAGCAGACTATCATCAAAGTGAGTCTTCATAAACAAAGCTAAAATGGTTCACAATTGGCTATTGTACAAGGATTAATTAAATAAAACTGCTGGCTGTGAAAAGTGTATGCAGAATTTATAAGTTCATATTAGCTACATCATGCAGAGGCTAGTGCACAAAAGTTTTGTTTTTTTCTTTTGTGACGACTAAGAGAGCAATTGACAGTAGCAGTTATACTTTGAACACAACTGGAAAGGGAAATAACAGATAATAGTTGATAAAAGCATACCTCAATGGTGTTTTTTTTAAAAAAAAAATCTGTTGCTTTTATTCAGGAATAAAGTTGAGATTGGGCATTAAAGATCAGAGAAAAAAGTAGGAAGCTTTGAAGTCACGTAGTCAAAGTTAGAAATTGAACTTCTTTTTAGTTTCGGAACTCTAACAACTATTGAAACTTTTATTTAGAAAAAACTAACAAAAACAACATCAACAAAAATCTACCTGTATTGAAATTTTTGGTGTGTTTTATAAGTTAATCTGTTAATTTGTAAAACTGGGATATTCACCTTCACAGTTAAATGGGCTCAAGTACACGTGAAAGCAGGAAACTCAATTATAATATATGTCAGAGGAGAGTCTGCTTCTTCAAGTATACTTGGCCAAGGACCTTTCCAAACAAAAGAGTGATAAAAAGGTAGAAGCCATATACAAGACCACCCAAAGAAACAAACTTGACAAAAAATGTCTGGTGTAGTTCTGAGGCTTGGAAAAGTAGGTAAGTGAACAGCCATGCAAAAGGAAAACACATAAATTGTGAGCAGGAAAACTGGAGCTTGGGTTAAAAGCAGGCTGGAGTTTTCTACTCTGAGAAACAAACATTTTGTAATCATTCATAGAAACATTCAATCACATTTTAACAGCATGTGCAGGCTATGTATGAAAGGACTGAGAGCAAATGTCTAATGGCATCTGCATTTCAGCAAAACTTCCATTTCAGCTATGTGTAACTTAAGTCTACAAGACTACCCAGGTAAATCTGTGCTCCTCCAAAGGCAAAAGAAAAGTCACTTGCTTTATAATTGCTTCACCTAAAAAGTAGCATGAGAAGAGCCACACTGAGACCTCTGCCACATGGTAGCCTGCATCAGGCTCAGAAGCACCATTTTTGGGTGACTTTCCATTTTGAACTGGGAAAAGAATTAATTCCAACAGCAGATCAAACTAAAGGAGCAAAAGTTCTCAATTTTTGATCACTGTGGCTGTGGGAATAAAGTGACAGTCTTTCCTGGCTCAGATTCTGTGACAACACCATATGGAACTGAAGCATTGTGAATTCTCTCTCTCTCTTTCTGATCAGTTAAGAAACAAACTTGCGGCTAACTGGTGACTAACAAAGAAAAACTGTAACAGACTTGTGAATGCCTTGGAACAGACAGTGTACTGTATCACTCTTGTGAAAGCTGCAGAACAAATACACGTTGTGTGCCAGCACAATGGGGCTTCTGCATCCACCACATGAAGGAAGAAGTAGTATGGCTGGTACATCATGCACACAGTATGTGATACCAGACACACTCTGCCCAGCAACAGCTCCTGGCCCAGTTGGAAGAGACAATCATACAGCATAAAAGGCATTGACAACACCACAGCTGGAAGTGCACGACCCACCACATCATTAACCACCCCAGAAAGAGAAGAAGAAAGAAGAGAGAGCTTCAGGACACAAGGGATCCACACTGGTGACTTGCTTTTCTTTCCTTTTTTTCTCTCTCTTCTTTTCTTCTCTTTTCTTTTTCCTCTCTTGTACTCTCATCTTTCAATAAATAAAGGCACTATCTTGCTCGATCAAAAGCTTGACTCCATGCCGAGTCTTAATTTAAAGGGATTAGGATCAATATAATGAAGCACAGCTTGCAAAATGGGTGAACAACATTTTCCTTACAAGTAGAAGAAACCAAATCAGCCAGTGAGAAATCCTCTGGAATGAAAAATAAAGCATTCCCCATATTTAATATCTTCATTGGAGGATAAATGCTGGAGGGGAACCTCAAAATGAAGACTACCTCATAGAAATGTTCATTAAGGTCCCATTTCTCCAGTCTCCTGTTGTTGTCCGTGATTACAGAAAAACTTACTCTGCTGACCACTTCGATACACGTAACAACAACTGGATGGCTATTGTGGACAGCTTTCTTATTGTGGCCATGCAGGAATGATACATGTTACTGATCAGGGTACTTGGGAAGCAAATACAGTGACAACAGATAAGTCACACACCAGCATGTATGTAAGAAGGCAAAAGAAAAACTGAGAAAACGCTAAGATTTTGTCGCATTAACACTGATACATTCAGAAAAGTGTAAAAAGACCTCAGGCACAGAGAAAGAGTCGAAAAAGATTCCCCCATATTCCTCTAATTCCTCTAATGCATCCACTTTTGCACAGTTCTACAGAGTCTCTTGTAATTCATTTCCTTAACCCCAGGAGACCCAGGTTAGTCTAGTTAACCTCCTTTTTCACTAATTACAACGTTCCAGTTGAAAGTCTCCAAGGCTACATCTGGTTATTGCAAAGATCTGTCCTTCGTGGACAGAAGAGCTCGGCCTCTGTATTTAGGCTTTTGTATCAGTGTGTTTACTAGGTTTTCTACTTCTCAGATTCATCGTTCGTGTTGAACAGCCCTTAACCAAATAAGACTGCAAACCAGATAGTCTCATGTCCCTCATACACTGCAATGCTGTAGTCTGGTATTTTTGTTGTAACACAGGGAATCTTGAGGATAATCTTGCAAACCCTTGGAAGATAGAAGGGTTTTACTTTAAGGTAAAAGAGTGGCTACAGATCTGTACTTAATTTTTTTTATTTTTATTTATGTTATTTTATTTTCAGTTTATATAGCTTGAACCATATGCATTGTTCTCTGAATAAGCAGCCTCCTTTACTATTTTTTGGAGAGAGGGAAGAAGAGATTAGGTTTGATTTCTTATGAATAAGAACTTCTATGAATAAGTTTGATTTCCTATTTACATAAGAATGTGATTTAGAACAGTGTTTTGTTTCCACAACGAACGAGATAAAATAGGGAATGGATATCTGAGGAGGTTAAAAATAATGAAGACATTTTACTACATGAGAAGAATGTTTTGCAGATTGGCATTGATAGGTCCATCTTCTGCTCTTCACCCTTTTATAGAATTGATTACTCAATATAGGGCTGAATATTGCATAGAAAAACAGGAAAAAGAACTGATTTGTTGTGAATAATATTCAGATTTCAGTAACTCATGGGGCCAGGGGAAAAATAAGTGCAGCAAGGAGGTAGGGTCTCACAGACAAGAACATCAAAAGCTCAGCCCAAAGAAGCGTCAGCTGTCAGGAGAAGGAAAAATAGTTGTGCTTACCAAACTTCCTTATATAAATAACTGCTCTCGCAGAGAGCCACCGAAGATATTGATGGACATATCCTAGTCCAACAACATGCAGAGAAATAGTTTTTCTGACAGTACATCCCCTAACTAGGATTCAGCTTTCCCCTACCCAATTGTACCCATTCTGTCCTGCAGTGAGCCAGATCTACCATCCAAATGCTCATCAGCCTCCAGTGACTCCAGTTGTTCACAACTTCTCTGATAAACTTGTACATTTTATCAAAGCATCTTCTCAGCATCTTCTGAGCAGGGCTGGGCAGGTTGGGCAGGCTAGCTCAAATGTTGTAGTACTCTTTTCTCCATGTTTCAGCTCCCAAGCCACAGAGTACATCCTTCATGTGCAACAAGAAACAAAATTCTGCATCAACAGAAGTGGGCAGTGCCACTTGAGGATAACAGATGCCTTAGCTTGGCAAATCACTTCTGCTGGTGAACACTTATCTAGGATCACTGCTATGAAAACAGCCCAAAATGCCTGAAGACTTCTGAAACTTGTTGCTAGCAACAGCTCTGTATTGACATAGAGCCAGATTTTCTCTGTTTCTTTCATCTTAATTCATAATTTCATTATACGGACCTAGAAAAATATTAATACATGCAATTAGAAAATTTCAAAATCAGTCCATAAATAGGAAGGGGACAAGCCCACAGTTAGCTCAGTATTAAATGGAGCTGCATAATATCCACAGCAATTAAGCTGCAAAGTACCATAATTTACATAAACAAACAAAAAAAATGGGGGTGGATGTAGTAATGTTTGTTTCATAAAAAAACTGAATACTTGTTTCAAAAACAAACAGCTCTAAAACAACACTGTAGCCAACATAACACTGCCTAGTAATTCTGGCTGCTGCTTTTACACAATTAACCTTCC